TCTACCACAAGTGCATTGCCTCAGGCACCTCCACTGACCTATGAGATGACACCATTTTTTTTGCTGACTATCCTAAGACTTTATGAACAAAGATTTTTACTTCAGAATGGCTTTTCCTAAATGAGGATGTTTTTAGGTGTCCTTTGGCTCATCAGAATATATTTTATGTTTCAGGCCATTCCATGTTTAGGAGAGATATTTATTGGGACAAGGGGGAAATCTGAGCATTCTTTTTCACAGAATATTTCTGCTTATCGCTTACTCTTCACGTTCCTTCCTGGCCTCATCAATATGTACTTCAGTAGGCTACCAGCTATTTCACCTCTGACATGCCCTAGCTTTGTCATATTTCCTCAGTGATGTACAAATAAGTACAGCAACATACATATTTCTAATTAGTTGTATTAATGTACGTTGTGTTCATGTAATGGTGTGGGGTATTTTCTGTCCAGCTGGGGTCTCAGCACAGCCAAGAAACGCAATGACAGCTCTTGAGCTTTGCCATCTCCAGCATTAATTTAACTTCCCATGTGAATCCTATTTGGAGCAAGAACTGCTGGGAGTTCAAGTCAAACACCTGCCTCCTTCTCCAGTGTTTTATCTCTCCTTGCAGACTCAGATAATCCGTTTTCATGGATATCATAGCGAGGAGCACCAAGTCCTGACAGAGGATGGCTATTTCCTCAGCATGAACCGAATTCCTTATGGCAGAGAGGATGCTGCAAACAGAGGTGGGGCACATTTCTCCCTCTGATGAGTCAGAGGATGGAGTTAGGAGATGAAGGGGAAGAAGGTAAAGCAAGGAACATTGCTATTCTGGAAACTACTCTTAATGGCCTGAATTATAATAAAATCCCATGCAGTGTTGTGCTGTCAGCCTTCCTGTCGACATCACAAGAAATACCTTTCCAGAAAGATCAATGTGACTAGAATCCGGTCTGGGGAAGGACATAGAGAAGGAGAGAAGTCGCTTCTTCTGGGAATCCCAAACACTTGCTGAGTAGTGTGAGCTGCTGGTGTGAGGTAGCCCACAGGATGCAGGAACTGATGAGCACTTTTAGTTGAGTGCTGGGCAGTGCCAGGGTGGGGCAATGCCAAGGACTGAACCACATTGTATGTGAAAGAAGTGGTTGTCTTGCTCCTTCCTTGGAGGATACCTTTATCACTGGCTCCCAGATTTCAAAACAGCTCAGGAAATGCACGAAGAAACCTAGAAAGTTTCCTCTGCCTTAAGACAGACCAGGAAACTCAAATTGTTTGGAAATGAAGGAGAAGCAGGACATGTTACTTCTCTTCCTCAAGATTTTTGATGTATCTCATATGAATACTATTCTCGCCTAGGTGGGAGGAAAAGATAGCTCTTTCCCACCTTGCAGGAGTCCTTATTGAACAAATGTCTTCCATTTATTTGTCTAGGACTAAGGTTACCTGTGTTGCTCCAGCACGGCTTGCTTTTAGATGGTAGCAGTTGGGTTTCCAATTTCCCTGATACCAGCCTGGGCTTCATCCTCGCAGATGCAGGATATGATGTTTGGATAGGGAACAACAGGGGGAACAGCTGGTCCCGCAGACACCTGAACCTTTCGACTGACCAAGAGGAATTTTGGGATTTCAGGTAAGGCAGCTCATGAGATCAAAGGTTGGGGGATGCTGACCTCTCAAGGCTGCCCGTGTGTCCTCACAAGGGTCCATGTGGCCAGGGTGGGCAAGTCTTTGTGTTCCAAGGAGGTAGGTGCTGGCTCCAGAAGAGCCCTCACTCATTGGCCATGCCAATGGACACCGGGCACTTTGCCTACAAGGCAAAACGGAGAGCAATCGCTGCACTTGGTGGCCTGGACGATGCTCTGGGGAGGGAGAGCCCCAGGAGAGAAGGACAGAGGTAGGCGATGGGAGAGTCTCTGCTAAGCAGAGTGGCATCTTGTGGTGGCCACATGTGTGGAGGATGCCACTGCTCTGCACAAAGGGCAGGAAGTAGGCACCACAGTCAGCTTCTCTCCTTGCTTTCCAGTTTCCACGAGATGGCCATATATGACCTCCCAGCAATGATAAACTTCATTCTGCAGAAGACTGGGCAGCAGAAACTCTACTACATCGGCCATGCTCAGGGCAGTGCTCTTGGTGAGTGAGGAGGAGGATCAGGGCTCTGCTCGGGAGCAATGTGCTAGGATGCCAGGAGGGAAGGGACAGCTCTGCCTACAGTGCTCCTCAGGGACTTGATGTCCAGGGTGAAGTGGAGACTGGTCAGGGCAGAGACTTTTCCAAGACTGTGATCAGTTGTGCTGGCCCAAAGAACCACTTTCTCCACCTGATGGTCTTTCTGCACAGGGTGGCATTTCAAATATCTTGCCCAATGTAGTCCTTAGCTGTGCAGAAACTGTGCAGTTTCCTTTTCAGGCACTGTCTCCTGAGCACGATGGAAAGATGGGTGAGGAGCAGGGGTTTGGAGGTACTTGGATTCATGCAGTAATTTCTGGAAGGACTTGTGTGATGTCTTGTCATTTTTTCAGGTTTCATAGCATTTTCAGCTGTGCCACAGATGGCTGAAAAATTTAAAATGTTCTTTGTTTTGGGTCCTGCCTACACTTTACATAATGCTAAAGGTCCCATACTAAGTCTTTTCTATCTTCCTGAGAAATTATTGAAGGTATGTATTATGTCCTGGTTTTCTCATTCTATTTAATTATGTAGTTAAAAAATGATAACATAAATCATAAACAGTTGGTTATGCTGCTGCAGCAAAACTCTCTTGGAGCTCTTACATCACAGCTCTAGATCCTTGTGAAAGGAAAATATGTAAAATAACTGGTTATCCCCCAGGAGTTCCACTAGTTGTGTTCTACTTTTCCATTCCCGCTTCTCGGAGATAATGAAGGGGTTCAGCTGGATCACCGGATGGAAGCTGGATGTAGGGGGAGATACAGTGCCAGATAAGAAGAAAAAGGAAGCAGTTCCTTCTATATTCCCATTGGAGAGGGGGAATCACTATCACAGGAAGATTAGTTTGGAAGGGGTTTCTGGGGATCATCTAGTCCAACACCCCTGCTCTCCCTGCATCTACCTAGGTAGTCATTCCATCATGGAAGGCTATCAAGTTGATTAAGCATGGTTTCCCCATGGAGAATCCGTGCTGACCATCCCTGATAACTCTCTTTTCTTTCCCATACTCAGAAATAACATCCAAGATGAGCTGCTCCATCACCTTTCCAGGGATGGAGGTGGGGCTGACTGGCCTGTAGTTCCCTAGGTCCTACTCTTGCCCTTTTCAAGGACAAGAGTGATAGTAGGTGGAGGGAAAAAACGCAATCAACATCAAACTTCTGTCTCATGGTAAAAGGCCAGGCTTTGAAAGGAGGAAAAAAAAAAAGAAAGATAGAGGGGATCAAAGGAATAATGAATCTCTCAGGAAGACAGCTTCTTGTCACAGGCACCCTAATCTGGAAGGTTTTTGGAAAAGAGAGTAGTATGAAAACAAGATCATTGTGGGAAGCGTGTGCTTCTTACCTTGCTCCTATTCCAGACACCCACGCAGGGAAAAATGCATATCTCAGAGTTGAATTTTTCCTTGTTCGCACCTTTGGAAAAGAGTGGCTAATTCATGAGCACATGTGGATCTTCTTCAGAAGACACAGGGAAAAACACACTGATCTTCCCCAAATGACTCTTCCCTCAGCACCCTAGTCTGCCACAGACAGATGTCTTCTCTGGGCTGCAACAGTCCGGCCACAGAGTGGTCAGGGACTGACCTGCAGTGTCTTATGTTGTTGCAGGTGATATTTGGCACAAAAGAGGGAGGTTTACTGGGAAGAACGCAGAGAGCTGCGCTTGCCAAGGCCTGCAGCTGTCAACTGCTCCACGTACTCTGTGCAGATGGACTTTTCCTCGTGGGTGGATTTGACAAGAAGAACTTGAATGCAGTAGGGACGTTATTCTTTCGTATGGGGTGACCAAATACTGCATGTCGTAATGTCATGTTATGGCACAAATGTTGTAGTGCAGTAGGGACGTTACTCTTTGATTTAGGGTGACCAAATACTACATGTCGTAATGTGATGATATGGCAGAAATGTTGTACGTGTCTGAGTTACTTAGCAGTAATGCTGTCATGGGACAGGGGCACTGAGGATGAAAACAGTGAAGAAGGAGATAGGAGATTATGTTTTCTTTCAGATCCCTATTATTTTTATTGGCAGCTCAAAACAAATCATAAGTGAAAAGGTCTTACCTGAAAGGTTGTGCAAACTAATTTTGAAGGGTTATTTTGCTCTCAGGGGATAATATTGAAAAACAAAGAACCATTCTGAGGGCTCTTCACTGTACTGTGTTGTTTTAGATCTGAAGAACTCCCTGCACGAAGAATATATCTCTGAGAGTCTTGTATAGTGAACATTCACAGGGCTATCCATATGTTGGCAACTCAAAGAGCCATCAGCTGTGAAGCTAACAGAGATCTTGATGGCTTGTGACAAAGACACTCATTATCTCTATAGCTATTTTTGAGTGTTTTCTTTCATTTGCATTTTCTTGAAGTGGGCATCAGTGGAAGGCAAGGGAATTCACATACTAACAACAAAACACTGATGGGATAAGATCTTTGCTTTGCTGTTGACATTAGTCTTTATTGGCTAAAGAAAAATGGAAATTTTTGCTTCCTATCACCCAAAGGTGCCCTAATGTATTAATGTCTGTAACTGATAGGCCACAAGGTCAATGGGGCAGCACAAAGCAGAAGGTGCATAATTAATTTTCCTGTCCTTTGGTACTTCCCCCAAGGTTCACTGCATCCAGCATTTGGACAGCCTAGAAGAAGCCAGCAAGTAACAGGCTGAATGATAATCAAGCGCTTTTGACTGCAGCAGTAAACAAGTGCTAATTCCTTTCTTAAGTAACGCTTTCTTTTTCTATTTTTACTTTTTGCAGAGCCGAACAGATGTGTATATATCACACTTCCCAGACTACACATCCGCTAAAAATATTATCCACTGGAGTCAGGTAGGAACTCTCCTGTTTGTTGTGCCTGATAATCCTGTGATTATTCCTGGATAAGTTGGTCCCTCAGGTAGCTCCATTCACTGTGTGGACAGGGAAGGTAGCAAAAGGGGTGAAATGC